ACTTTTCTATCTCCGGGTACCTCGTCTCTGCTCCCTGCAACACTTTACTAATATAATAGACGGGTCGTTGGACCCAATCTACTTCTCTTATTAGTACCGAGCTGACCACCTCGTCCCTCGCCGAGAGGTATAGCTCTAAAACGTCACCCACTTCGGGTCGGGTCAAGACTGGGATGCTGGCGAGGTGCCTTTTGAGCTCGTCGAACGCGAGCTGGCACTCTTCAGTCCATTCAAAGCCTTTGCTTTTTATGGCTTTAAAGAAAGGCAAACAGCGGTCTGCGGACTTGGACAAAAAGTGACTTAGGGCGGCCAACCGGCCATTCAGCTTCTGGACCTCTTTTAACTTTTGGGGTGGTCTCATTTCTAGGATGGCCTTGATTTTGTCCGGATTGGCCTCAATGCCTTGCCGGTTGACGATGAACCCCAGGAAATTACCCGAGGTGACACCGAAGACGCACTTATTCGGATTTAACTTCATATTAAATCTTCGCAAGACTTCAAAGACTGAGTGTAAATCTGGTATTAATTCATTTGAAAACTGGGTTTTGACGACCATGTCGTCTACATAACACTCTACTTTGGTGCCATCAAGTGGCTCAAACTCGGTTATGAAGGCGGTCTTTTCCTCATCAGCTGGGTCCATTTTTATTTGGTTATAGCCCGAATAGGTGTCCAAGAAGCTCAGCAACTCGTGCTCCGAGGTCGTGTCCACTAGGCGGTCAATCCTGGGAAGTGGGAAGCAGTCTTTTGGGCAAGCCCAGTTTAGGTCGGTGTAGTCGACGCACATGCGCCACTTGCCGTTTGCCCTTTTCACCAGAACGGGGTTGGCTACCCAGCTCGGGTAATGGACTTCCCTGATAAAATCGGCTGCAAGGAGTTTCCCGACTTCCTCGTCAACTGCCCTCCATCGCTCTGGGGCTAGATTGCGCTTTTTTTGTCTAACGGGCCTAACTGAAGGATCAGTGTTAAGTCTGTGAGTGATAATGTTGGGGTCTATGCCGCACATTTCTACTGCCGACCACGCGAAAACATCTAAATTTTCGAGTAAGAAGCTTACCAGTTGAGACCGTAGGGGCTCCTCAACAGAAGCACCAATCTGAAGTGCCCGTGCTGGATCGTCCATCGAGGTCGGAACGGGGATGGTCTCTTCAGTAGGTGTGGCCCGCTCTGTGAACTGCTCTGCGGGTCATCCCAGCTCGAGGTTGTCAGCTACTTTGGCCTTTCCTTTGAGGGCGGCTACGTAGCATTTGCTGGATTCGAGCTGATCGCCCCGTGCCACTCCGACCCCGAAGCCTGTGGGGAACTTCATCACTAGGTGGTAGGTGGAGACAACTGCTCGCAGGACGTGGGTGATGGGTCGGCCCACTATCGCGTTCTATGGAGAGGGGCTTGCAACCACCAGGAACTCGTGGTTGAGCCTTACCACACTGGGCCAAGTACCGACCTCCACCGGCACGGTGACTTTCCCTAACGGCCTGACCTCATCGCCACTGAATACCACCAATGGAGTGCTTGCAGGCTTCAGGTCATCCTCTGGGATCTGAAGCTGATCGAAGGCTGCCTTGAAAAGGATGTCTGCCGAACTGCCCGAATCTACCAAGACACGCTTGACTTCGTAGTCGTTGACCTTGATCTTGATGACGAGCGCGTCATCGTGGGGGTAGTGGACCCCTCACGCGTCGTCTTCAGTGAAGAAGATCGGCTCCTCCACCCTTGGCCACTTCAGGGGGTTTAACTCTTCTTTGGCGGTTTCGCGGGCTGATGACCGAGCTGTTGCCGAGATACAGCCCGCGACAATTGATCCTCCCACGATTACGTGGATGGTCCCTCGGACTGGTCTCTCGTCTGGGGGTTGTCATTGCGGTTACTCCGCCTATCTGCTGGACTCGGGGGTTTCTTTATTCTGCCCCCCGTGCCGACCTGCTTTATTATTATTATTGCCATGCTGTACAAACTTTCTTAAATATCCGCGAAGGATGAGCTCTTCTATCTCATCGTGGAGGTTATTACAATTTTCGATGTTGTGACTGTGATCTCTATGGAAACTACAATACAAGTTCTTGTTCTTAACATTAGGATCGGCCTTGAGCCGAGGTAGCCACTTTACATACGGGGCATCCTTGATCGCCATGAGGATTTCTGTCCGCTTTGTGTTGAGGGGTGTAAACACATTTTCTATCGCTGGAGCTCGGATGGGCTGAACCGGGCTCACCCCCCGAGCTTGATCCTTCTTCTTCTTGTAGCCGTTAGGAGCCGGGGGTTCCGGTTCCCTTCTTTTTTTGGGGGCGTGCTCGCCCTTCTGGTTGATCTCCTCCTCTGTCCCTATGAACCGATCTGCTAGTTCGAGAACCTCGGTCACGGTCTTGGGTTGGGTGACGACCACGTGCCATCTAAACTCCTTGTGGGTGATGCCCCGCTTGGCCACAATGAGCCGAACTACAGGGTCCAGGTTGGGTATCTGCAGGCAAGCGTCATTAAACCGTTTGATATAGTTCCGGATGGACTCCTCATCTCTCTGGACTATGTTGAGGAGGCTCTCTTGGGTCCTCGGGCACCTCTTGCTAGTGACGAAGGGAGGTGAAGACCTTCACGAACTGCACCCAGCTCCTTACCGAGCCCGGTGAGAGGTTTCGGTAACAGGTGCGAGCCACTCCTTTGGACGTAGTGAAGGCCACACACATGCAAGATTCACTCACCCTGGCCAGATGCATCTGGGACTGGAAGGCGTCGACGTGGTCGTTGGGGTCGAAGGACCCATTGTATTTGTCCAACGGTGGGAGCTTGAAGTCTTTGGACATGGGGACCGCAAGGAGCTCCGGGGACAGAGGAGAGGGGATCGAGAGAAGAGGCGCGGCTCTTACCTCTCCCGAGCTTATTTCTATTTTGCTCTTGAGCTCGGGCAAGTTGTGGGCGGTGGTGGTTCGGCGAGCCCGGCGACGTCTTCGCTACTTCTTGGCCGGCTCGACGTTGGTGCTGCTGGCTTCCGTATTGCTGAGCTCGATGGACCCAGGGGGAGGCACGGACGACTGCCGGTAGCTGCGGACAGAAGGACCTTGTTCCAGGTCATCAGCTTGCACCTCGAACCTGTTCCCTGTGAGCAGAGGCTCGAACTACGAGTGCTGGGGTGACGCCGGCCTAACCGGTTGGGAGGCCGCTTCGAGGGTAGGGAGTCTTCCCTTCCTTCCGTGAGTTGATGCCGAAGTCTCTCCCCGGCGGGAAGGGAGTTCACTGCGACGTTGAGGCTTAGATGGCTGTGCCACCGGATGCCGGGGAGGGAGTGATGGGAATTGTTGCTAGTATTGGTACTGGGATACTTGGTGCAGCACTTGCTGCTGGTGAAACTGGAGCTGTTGAAACTGCTGCATCTGGGTCTGCATGGCCCGCATGCACTCCATTAGGTCTTCGAGTCGGCCTTGGCCAACCACCGGAGGGAGAATGGTGGGTTCGGCAAAGGTCGTCCTGACTGCAGGGGGCAGTAGGACAGTTATGGGTGCCACCATTGCAGGCATGTTCAGGCTAGGAACCCCGTCCGCAGAGAGGGGGACGGTGAACTGCCCAATGCAAACGGTGGGCACTTGGAGCTGCTCCTCAAGGGCGTTCCGGCGTTCGGAGTTGCTAGAAGAAGCCATGGGCGTCGGTGAATAAGAAAGAGAAGTTTCGTAGAGGTTAGAGGGAGGCTTTTCGAAGCGTTCCCACAGACAGCGCCAAATGGTGCCGCACGATTTGGGCACTCCTAGCTAGTTGTGACCTGGCTTTTGACTGGAACGAACGACATGTTTCTCCCGTCGAGTTGCGGTCGTGTTGTCAGGCTGAATTGTACGCTGGGCCAGGTCATATACACGTGTCCCCGAACTACGAGGTCGGGCCAAATCACCCTTCATCATCTACCTCTGTGGACTAACCCGGGATCATGGGATCATTTCATCTTGTTTTCCAGCTTTCAATTCGGGAAATCTTGTTCATTGTTAATAATCATTCAAAGAAGTTTTAGTGTCTAATCTAAATCATATTAAAGAACAGAAAATAATTATAAAAATTCTAAGAATATCTAAAATCGCCTAAATTTTTTTTTTCTAATAAATTTCAATTTTAGAAAATGTGATAGAAAAATTCGGCAGTTCTTATATTAATTTGTTGTATGATTTACTTCTTTTACATGTATATATACACATAAGCATAGCCTGTATTTTGACACCAAATATTTACTTACAACGAAAAACCTTCAATCAGTGGATTTTTCAGAAATTTATTAAATTTGACAAATTACTAGCAATGATCTGTCCGGCATCATATCTAGTTTTTCAAATGAATGTTTCTATTGTTCTGACTTTTTAGACGAAAACATGTGTAACTTATTTTTCCTACCACTCTCACGTCTCAATCACAAGTTACCAAAACCCATCCTAACCCTCGAAAAATATGATAAGCCATAAAAGAAAAATAACTGTTGAAATTTCTAGAAAATTTGAAGGACAAGCACAACGAAAACAAAAACCTCCCCATATTGACCTAGATCCTCTACATCAAAGGCTTCTGAGTTTGCATCATCCATTTACAAAATTCCAATAAAATTTATGATACCATCACCTAGTACTCTCCTGTTCCACTTTCCCTTAACAAAGTCTGTGGAGTGTGTGGATGAAAGATTACTCAAATTTTGCCTGCACAAACTCGCTGATTTTATATTTCTTTCGGGTTTTTTTTTTTTTCAGTTTGAGAAAAGTGCAAATACAAATATGTCGTTTAGTGCAAAACTTTTGTATTTGCACAAAAACAATAACAACAAATCATTAGATTAAAATAGTTCAGTTGCTGCTACATAAATTTTGTTGATAACTTAGTACATGATTTTAGGATATTTACATCCCACTCCAAATTTCTAGAATAAATACATTATGTCTCCGTTTAAATGAAAAAAAAAACCGAGAATCAATAGTAATCGTTTACATGAACAGAGATTGAACCGCAAAATAAATGAAAATCACACGTCTCACCGACTCTGAGAAGACGAACCACGAAAAGTCCATAGAAAAGCATGATGATTTTAGTTTTGATAACAGTACATGATCTTTACGTAAGGATATTTACATGGATTTCCACCTCACCATTACATTTCACCTCACATTTTTCTCCGAGGACCAATATAAAATACATGTATATAGTGTGTCTTCGTACAAAAAAAGAAAAACCAAACTGCTGACTGCTGAAGGTAACAACGATTGAAACAGAAAATAATCACCCGTCTCACTGAGAAAACAAAAAAGAAAAACATCATGAAGTTCTTTCCAACAGAATAGATCGATCAAATCAAACAGGTAATTCCCCCCTAACCTAAATCAATGGGAATTGGGGGCAAATCTGACCAAGGACTACTCTACATTGTTTTCATCTCTCAACGGGACAAAATGCCGTCTTCGTATCAAAATTTCAAATGGTAAGTGAGAAAAAACAACGGAAAAGTAAGGAAACACACGATGCAGAATTCTGAATTCCAGCCTCTTTACAACTAGCCCTCTCCCCTCTATAAACCACATCCTGTTGACATCAATTCACGGTCAGATGCATTTTCCCTGTATTTGGGCCTAGAAAATTCTGATCTGGGCTGACTGGTACTTCTCCAAAAAAACAAACACCGTAGGACCTAGGCCGCGTGTATGAAACAAGGTTTTCTTTTTCTTTTTTTTCTTTTATTTTTTATTTTTTGAAACGGCGGGAAAAATAAGCACCCGTCTCACTGAGATTGAGAATGAGCAGGCAATACCCGGGAATTTGCCGTTGAAGAAGAATACGATGAAGTGCTCCCCGATAATCCGTTCCCGTAAAATAGATCCGACAGGTAATTCCCCAAATCATCGGGGGCAAACCTGACTACCGACTCTGCAGTGTTCTCATCTCTCAACGGGTTCCGATACCTGTCATAAAATGCCCGATACGCCGGTGCGATTTTCTTCGTAATTGACACTTTAATCTCGTCCCTCAGCCTCCCGTCCGTTACCACCCACGACGACTGCTTCTTGTACGCTTCGTCGAAAGCTGTATTGAATTTCTTGAACCACTTCTTCGCCTCCTCCTTCGACATCACCGCCGTAGGATTTTCGGACAACGTCGATATGACCTTGCTCCACCCCATTCGCTCGTAATTGGCCACGTACTGTTTCACCTTGGCCTCGTGCTTGGATGCCCACTCCTCGCCAAGGAGGTACCGAAGGTTCGACGTGCGTACCTTCGAGATGACGTATTGGAGGTTGTTTGCGAGGAAGATGTACGACAAGGGTGCGTCCTTGTACAGCTCAGCCTTGCCGTCGAGTTTGCATAGCAGGACGAGTATGAGCCATGCCAATCGAACGGAAACTGCCGGCGATGGATCAACTTCGGAATTCCGATGGCTCAGGAAGTATGACTCTGGAAGGGGTGAGTGTTTCGGTAAAGCCGAATCGGCGATGATATCGGAGAGGATTCCGCTGTAATCGGCGAGGAAACATAAGAAATTCATCACGTATCGGCTAAGAGGGTGGATTCCTCCGCCGGGTACTGGGGATTTCGACCAGTCCTTCTGAATTGCCGATTCGAAATCCAATAGCATCCTTTTGATCGCGTCACCGAGCTTGACGAGTGAATTGAGGGCTTGTATTCGGACGGCGGCTGTCGACTCGAAGGAGAAGGTCGATTTGATCTCGGGCCAAAGGTCGCAGATGGTATCGTAGAGGTCAAGTATTCGGAACATCTTTTCGGAAGAATATTTCTTGCTCTTGGCGACGGATTCGGGGAATTTGAAGAGATTGATTGCCCCTTCTTTAGAGATCTCCGAGAAACACGACTCTCTGATGAACGCAGAGGTAGAGAAGACATAATCGCAAAGAACTCTCTCCCCTTTAAAAAGAGTCTTGACTGCGACCTTGGCGGCGTTGAGCCAGGTTTTGATCTTAACGTCTAAGACATCCCAATCCATCTTTTGGATGCGAGAGGAGGTGAGCTGCTCGATTCCGAGACGGTAGAGACCTTCGTCGACGATTGATTTTCGGATGATCATGTAGATCTTCACGCACTCTTTACCGTAGCCCGAGGAAATCATGCAATCGGCGATGGACTTGAGATCCGACATTGCGAGCGTGGAAGCTTGCTCGACCTCGGAGATAGAGCGAGCGACGACATGGACGTCGTCTTCATAAGTGTCATCGTAATCGGAGGTGCTGGATCTTGCGGAGGCGGAGACGAGGGAGGAGCGGCCGGAGATGGATTCGGGATCGAGATGATCGCGATTGGCGGAGAGAATCTGATAAAATTCCTTCTCAAGCCTCTTCATGGCAATCTGCATGAGGCGTTGGGCGCGGATGAGCATGTCAGACGAGGAACCAAGAGAAAGGAAATAATGCATGGATTTCTGCAAATCCATGACGCATTTGATGAACTCCCTAGCTTCATTTCGGCTCTCAAAGAAGAGGGAAGTAACTTTGGCGTAGCTGGAGGAATTAGGATCCCATTTGGTGATGATTGATTCGGCAACCTCGATATTTGCAGCCATAGTGGTTTCGGATTCGGAGAAGGTGCGGAGGGGGGAGGGAGGATGGGTGGACGAAGAGGAAGAGGATAGGTCCTTGGAGGAAAAGGAGAAGAAGATGGTCCGCATTCCTTTTCTCGGCATTGAGCTATTCTTAGTTGCTTATCAATATAAATTTGGAGTGGTGCTGTTGAGAGGAACTGAACTCTGAGCCTGAGGCGGAGGTGAAAGTGGACGAACGTAATCCGTATAAAATATAAGTTAAAAGAAGCAGCTTATTGAAAGCTCTGAAACTCCGGAACTCTTCCTTTTTCTTCTTCACCTGTAACCTGTTGTTGCAGAAGGAGTGTCTGTGTGTGACTCTGAGTTAATGGTGTTTCGTCTGGGAGTGAATAGAGAAGAGAAGGCAGAGAAGAGATGGTACAACTGCCTGTGTCTCTAAGGACTAAGGTTTCGTAAGGGGAAGGGTGGGCAGCGGTGATCATTAAATAGAGAGAATCGGGAACGTCGCTTGGAGATAGATGGAAGAGTTGTGTGTGTACCAAGGGCGATTTCTGATTCTCATTTTCTTCTAGTCTAGTCAGCCCGGCCCAGCCCACACATATTTTGGTTGACTATCCACGCGGTCCATGTTTTAATACGAGCATTGAGCTGTTCAAAACAAACCAACATACATAGACGAGTAGACGACCCGGACCAGGCCAGAGCCGCAGTAAGCCGCCGCTAGAAGAATTTGGTTATCACGTCACGCGGTGAAGGAAACGAATGGAATGAAGCCCCATCATCCATGATCCATCCACGTGGATGACTAGTATGCATTTGGTTCGCCACGTGTCCAGTGTCTTCTTATTTTCTAATGAAGATGCTGAACTGCAATATTGCCACGTGGAAAAGGAAGAGTGCAGCTGTGGTTGCTGTGACGGGTGACCCAACCCCATCTCCATCTGTCAGGCCGACGGTCCGAGTAGCGGGTTTTAGTGGAACCGCTGCGCTGACGCCACTGTTTCACTTGAGACTTGAGCTCCAGCAGTCAAATATATCAAAATTTAAAGAGACGTAACGTGGGAACAAGGAAAAATTTATAGAGGAGAAGGGTAGCGTAACGTTATAGTTAACTAGCTTGTTGTAAAAGTAAAAATACCGACCCGACCAGGCAACCACGACGCAAACAAGTATTTCATCAACAGAAACAATTAGTCCAAGAATAAAGCAGACCATGCCAATTGGAAGCATCTACCGTTTGCCATTGCCATGCCGTTGGACAGAATACTTTCAAACTTCAACCATGCACCCTGTAACAGTTGAGGGGGTTAAGAAAAAGCCAAAAAGGTAATAACTAATAACTGAAAACATGACCCGATTGCTAGGTAATTCTCTGTGGTTATACGTTGCGTAATTATAATTGCCTTAAGGGAAATTGTATAAAACTCACAATGAATTTACAATATTTCTCTAAATTTATCACAACCTTTTAAAATATTTAAAATTTATTATATCAGTAAGTTTTTATTTTCCAAAATTCATCATCCGTTAATGTTTCTTAACAGATGTGTCCATGTTAGCATAAATAACAATTTTCATTATCAAATTACTCTTGAATGGTGTGAGTTAGAGGAAAAATGGTCTTTTACAGTTTTTAAATTTTTTTTTGTATTTTTAATGTTTTGTTATAATTTCCAATATTTTTTTATAATTTCTATTTTTTTACATTTTTTTATTTTCTACAATCTATAAATTTTCTTGTATTTTTGTTATTTATTTATAATTTCTGTATTTTTCTATAATTTTTATTTTTTGATTTCTATAGTTTCTATAATTTGAAAATATTTTTTTTACTTTGTTTGCAATTTCTATAATTTTTTATATTTTTTGTAATTTTTATGTTTTTATGTATTTTTTTGAACTTTTTCCTTTTTTTCATGTCTAAATATTAAAATGATAATATATTAACACCTGTTAATTTATTTTGTATATATTCTATATTTTTTATGAAAGTTAAAATGGTAATATATTAACACCCATTAGTCTGTTTAACGTCAAGTTAGTGACATGGTGAATTTTAGATATTTTGAAAAGTTATGATGAGTTTAACGGAAATGCTGAAAACTCATGGTGAGTTTTAGATAAGTTCTCTTGCCTTAATAATTAAATTGAGTGGAAGATATTACTGTCAAATCCTCCCACTTAAGTAGGATAATAAAATGTTTGGGCACTCCAGGTCCAGGAAAGTGTGTGTGTTTCCTTTGGGAGTTAATAATTAAACGAGTCATATTCATTCAGAAAAAAATTAAAAAAAAATGTATAACCGTTCTCTTTCTCTTTTTTTTCTTGAATTCGAATATAAAATTACTATTGGTCCGATCCTTCTCATACAAGTTAAGCATAGAGCGTCAGGAACGATGTTACTGAGTCGATGAGTGAAAGAAGAGAATCGGTCAAATTTTGTGGAACATTATTTTTCTGGGAAATAATTAAAAGAAAATGAAAATGACAAATAAATTTAAAATAAAAAAAAACTGCACATCTGAGGGACTATCTTTAGTTATCCTGGGCATTTGAATCAATATACCTATAATTTTGTATTTTTTTTCAAAATAAAAATAATAGCCTCATGCTGAGTTTTTATCCATGGTATGCCTTAGTATCTGTTTGGATTTGCCGATAGAAACAAACTTTTAGATATCGGCAAATCCAAACAGATACTAAGGCATAACCATGGATAAAACACGATTACATATGCTCATCTGTTTAACTGTTAAAAAACCCTTGGTGTATTATATTAATTGAACATTTTGGGCTGTCAGAAGGTCTCTTCCCTCATCACATGGACTCCTTGTAAGTTGTAACAGTATCATTGCTGGATGAGCTAAAATTGTTGACAACCCACTGTGAAACTTGGACAGCCAATTAATTAAGGTTTTCTCTCTATTGATTAATGGTTCTTCTTCCGGAAAATGGGATTTTCTAGTGGAGTCAATAAGGAAACTTCGAAATATGACCTAAATTTAGCCACTTGTAGGAATCTTGTGATCATTCCAGAAGGTGCAGCGGTCAAGATTGACTATGTGTTGATTCTCATAATCCACATCAGCCTTATATATTACCCGTTTTTTCTCAGTAATTTGGATTAAGGAAGACATGTTGTTCTTAAGCACAAACTAATTGACAAATATAATTTTAGGTCATCAAGTAGGAAATCTGTATTATTAATTATTATTATTATTATATTGACTAGTTAAATTAGGCTTCTTTGGCATATATGGCCTCCTATATTTCTGTGACATGGATATGAATGTGGATGAAAGTATGAAATTATAGGTCCAGAAAAATGATTTTACATTTGCATCCCACAGCGCATCCAGAACTGTGTATTGGAAGAGACGGGATCTGTTTCTCATACTAACTTTACATGTACATTCTATTATGCATTGGGAACATCTTCCATATTTATAAATTATTATTCACGGGAGATGTTTCTAATGCACGGTGAATGTAACTGTGAGGCGCCCAGGTGTGAAAAGCAGATCCCGTTTTGTATTGAAAATGTTTTCCATTAACAAGTAGAAGAAATGTTCCCGATAATACACGCTGAGATGAGGCTGTGGGGGCATGCTCAGTGGAGCACAAACGTAGACTCCAGAAAAAGAGAGGACCGAATCTATTAGGCACAACATAAGTAAACATATTAAATGAACATTTGATAAGTATTTTAACAATTGTAAAAAACAGGTTTTAATCTTTTTCAAGGGTGGACTTGGTCTGCGTGCAGGAGTTTATCAATTATATTCCTGATCCTCCTTGGACCTTGCTGAGCCGTACCTTACTGTACTGATATTCTTGTTCGTTGGAAGACACCAGAGAGTGATGAAGTTAAGATTTAACTTTGATGCATGTCAGAGTGGATGGTAAATGCGTGATTGGTGGTGTTATCTCGAGAGATGACTATGGTAAGATGCTTTGATTCTATGCAAATGCAAGGATATAGGAGAATGTTCGATCAATGAAACTGAAGCCTGGGCTACCCTTGAAGCTCACAATGTTGCCACTAGGTTGCTGTATTCAAAGATCATTATTGAAGACGATCCCAGTAATATCATAAATAGAATTTGTGGTGGTCAGTAAACTCCTTGAAATGTCAGCAATTTAATTCATGAGCTTTCATATTTAACGATTACGGTGAAGTTTAACAATCGCGTCTTTTGCTTTCATAACGCAAAGGATATATTGTACTTCAAATCAAACCATGCATATACAATTTCCATTGATTAATTAGCGGAGGACCACATCCATCACTCGTAATTTTTCAACCCAAATAACATCATACCCATCTAAATGTGATCTTCCCATGTGTCAAAATCAGCAGCTGGGGTTATTGGTCCACATCATCTTTGTTCATTAGAGTTCTCTTTCACTTAATTTCATTATTCAGTTGAAGAATACACCATGACCACGCATATATGCATGCGTCACCAATGATATCATCATATGAGGTTTCCCGTCTTAGCCCGGCAAGGGAATATTTTTCCTTGTCGTCTACAAATTAAACCAAATTTCTAAACAAAGATAATCTTCACCGGAGAAATCTCTTTTTTGGCACGTCCCTCCATAAACCATAGAAAAGTAGCAAGTTAGTTGCAAATGTATCTGATCCGATTTTAATTTAAATCCGATCCTATCTTTTGGATTTGGATATTTTCTGTCAAATTTTTAGAATGGATCTGATCAAATAATATGATCTGATTAAAAATTGGATTGAATTCGGATCACCCTTTTAAATGATCCAAAAGAATTTGGTCCAATTTATCTTTATTAATTATAAGCTATTTATTTATTTATAAATATGTTTATATTGAACTTTTGTATTTTTTTATATTATTTAATTTATATATATATATATATATGGTAAACATGGTAAAAATGCATGTATTTTTTGTTTTTCTATTGTTATGTTTGTTTCCTTTTAATAATTTGTTAAATTTCACAGAAATTAAATAGAATTGGATCATACTCAGATATCAAACCTCCTTAACGGATTCAAATTCAAATAGACTTTTGTAAGATCCAATCTTTAGATGGGATCAGATATAAAATTTGTATTAACAAAATAAATTCAGATATACCCCAATTCGAATCCAATCAGAACCATTTGCATCATCAGAAACAGAAGGCAGCAAACAGCCGATCAGAGACTTTAATTTCCATTAATATATAGGATATTCTCCATTTAGTTTTATATAAATATATAACTATTAAAATCATATTTCATTACAATTTAATCATGTTTTTGGAAATCAGTTTCAGTGCTTACAAGATCATATTCACACCGTTCTTACAAGTCTTGCATTGAGAATATCTCCCCATGAAAAAAATCATGTTTTTGAACTTTTGAATCTTTTGATTGTCAATGGCGTAAAGAATAGTAAAGAGGATCTTTCGTCCTCACCACAAATAATAATATATTGTAGGTAAAGGAGTTTGGAGGTGTTTGGGAGTGAGGGAGGCATTACGATGACTTAGAAAAAGACTAGTCTTGATAAGGATTTACCTCCATGCA